AGCAGCAGCAGCAGCAGTGAATGGTGCTGCGGATGTTATGAGTGGCGTGGCTAACACCTTTCGGACGGCGACCTTGACGTTTCGCTGGTCTGGTTGTGTACTTTGGTCGCATGTGCGCGCGTAGCAGTGACAGGACATGGTCGGCAACAACATGTGCAGACGGATCCCTGGATTTGAACAGCGTCGGTCGAATTAATAATAAGCGCTGACAACCGTCGTACATATATATATGTGTATATATATATGTATGTATGTATGCGTGCGGCGTGCACACAGAGCGATCCGCGGCCTAAAGATGAGGCGAATCAATCCCATTCACAACGCGGCCAGCGGAATGTCGGCAGCAGCGCTCGATACAGTCGTCAATTTGAGCATACTGTATGTCGTCTGCTGTACGCTCTGCGTACATCGGCACTCTAGAATCACGAATGCGACCGACACGCTGTCAATGGGTCCCGTGCTGGGGTGCTGATGCGTGACCCTACAGCGCTCTTCCTGCATTCGGACTCGCTGTGCACAGTCCGCGTCTTCCGAGCATCGCTCGCGCAGACTTTGGCGGGCGGCGGGCGGGCGGGCGGGTGGCTAACCCTTGATCACATCTGTAGCATCATCGCAAACATTCACAATCACGAATGGCTCGCGAGCATCACACAGTCGTCCGCCTGCGTGTCAGCGCCTCAGCAATCAAGTTTCGGTGCGAGACGGGCAACACATGAATGCGCGCATTGCTCATGTCTTCACCGAATGGCGCCAAAAATTCGACGTCAAGTCGCCATGCCGCCGCGGAATTGGTCAGGCGAAACGTGCAGTCGTGTATTTGCATGGTGCAACAGGCGGCTCAAACTTGGTTCATGGTCGCGTAGCCATACGGGATGCGTGATGAATGAACGTCAAGGGCTGGCTGGCCCTCTAGGCCTCTAGCGCTCTAGCTTGCTATGGTACCGGAGACACTTGTTGGCTCAATGTGAACAATTCTTGCTACCCTCAAGAGCACACAGCGGACTTGATCATGTGGGCTAGCGCAAGTCGTCCAGCATCTCGGCGCTCTTCACCTTCAGTGGCCCAAAGCATGAGGAGGGACGATGATGTCCCGTTGATGGCGCACAGCAGCTTGCCCATTTCCGCAAGAATCATCGAAGAAAGCACCCCAAAACGAAGAAGCTAAGTGAAAGAAATGATTTGTCATCTAACTTGAATAGTGCATTCTAGGGGTACGAGACTGGCTAAGGCTACAGTTGAGAGGCTGGCTACGATATACCGACAAGACGATCGCCGGTGCGAGTGCGGGCAAAGAAGCGAGAGAAGATTGAGGGTCGTGTGTACAGTTGAGGGGCTGCTTCGATTTGGGTCAAGGGAATCCTTCGGCCAATCTCGTCGAAGGGGCTAGAAGTCGCGTCGCATCGAGTATCTGCACTGCGTTCCAGCTCATGAGACATACACTGCGACGATAGTGGTAGGCAGGCTTTGTGTGCTCGAGGGTAAAGCAGATGAGTGAATCAGCATTGCCACTTGTCGTTGCGGGACTCCTTGCCACCGACAAAGTCGTACCAGTCGTTAGGAGAGTCGCCAAGCCCGTTGCACTCGGTAGCAGTGACGAGACGGAAGCCCTTGTTGCTGAGGTGTTGAAGTGCGTAAGGCACAACGGTGTGAGAGGTTGCCTTGATCGTCTCGTGGTTGAGTACAAGTCTGCTCTTGGGCGCGTTGCGCGTGATGCTGTTGTAGACGCCTTTTCCATGGGCAACACCCGCACCATCCGCATCCTCGGTGTCCTTGTCCCAAAGAAAGACGCCGCGGTAACCGCGCTCGGCCAGAACGCTCAAGACTTGATCGTTGAGGTTTCCGTAAGGAGGACGGAAGTAGAGGGGCTTGACGCCCAGAATGCGCTTAAAGGCCACCTCGTTTTTGTGCAAAAGAGTGTTGATTTGATCACGAGAGAGCTGGGAAAAGTCTTGGTGCTCCCAGCCGTGAGAGCCGATGAGGTGACCCTGGTTGAAGGCGTGACGAAGAGACTTGACTTGCATGTTGTCGTAGATGCAGCCTGTGTAGCATTGGAGATCATCTAAATCAGCGTACGCTCCACCCATCTCCAAAGAGCGAAGTGTTCACTTACCATAGTTGTTTCCATTCACGAAGAAGGATCCTGCAAGAGCGACGTCAAAAGTGAAAGGTGAATATGGATTCTTGCACATCGCGTGCATCTGTACGTTGCTCACCTTTGGCGCCTGCGTTGTCGAGCTGGTCGACGATGGAAGTCTCCCACTTCCAAGGTCCATCGTCAAAGGTCAGAGCGACCGAGTCGGACTTGTGGCAAGTCTTGTACACTGGAGCCTGGTCACGACGAGGAAGATGAGCAACACCCTCAAAAGCGGCTGGAGAGGCAGATGTGGTGGAGCTCAAGGCGCAAAAGGCGGCTGCGAGGGCCAAGATGGAAGAGGTGAAGTGCATGTTGAGCGAATGTGTGTGTATGTGTGCGTGTGCGTGTTGAAGAGACCGAGGGAAGCGTGGTGAATGGGTCAATAGAAAGAGGCGGATTGGAGAGGTGGATGATGTAGAGGGAGAAGGAATACGGACGGCTAGACCCCCCCTTTAAGTAGACGATCTGTGGCTTGCGTACACTCATGGCTAGAATCTTGTCCCCAATAGCCGGTATGAGTTGAAGTGTGAGACTCGTGCCGATACATTGCGCTGCATTGCGCCAGGTTGCTAGGGCGATGCTGTTCCACAACCTACTCAGACTACCACTTAGTCACGAGTAGTAGAAGTAGCACTCACGACTCACGACTATTCTACTCCTACCAGCGGCCAGATCGTGAGTCACAGTGGTGCAAGCAATTTAGTGGACCACGCACAGCGAAGGCATGCTTACCAGCAGCGCGGAGCAGCAAGGGGCTGCCC